CGGGTGCTCGCCATGGTAACAGAGAAAGTGCACCTACGTACAGGAGCAGTACATAGGTAAGGAACATCTCTCATCCAAGGAAGACATACTGTGTTAAATACAATGTGTCTTGTCAACAAAAAAGCAAGTAAAATGATTTGTAAATAATGAGAAACAAAGTTGTGATTTTAGATCTTAGTGGAATGATGATATGTGCTAGGTCTTGATGGCATTCCATAATACATGCTGCCTAATATTGCTGAATCAGATCTTTTTTGACATAAATGGAGTCAAACCTAATTCATAGCCATATCACCTAATGCAGTGTTTGTTTTTGATCTGATAAGCAATCCTAAAACATTACATGAGAGGTTGCACTGACAACTTGGGTGTGACAATGCAATACTTTTACTTTGTTTTATTTTCTTTCCCTAGACTATGCATGTTAGATGGGACACCATTACTTGGTTCAGTTGAACTGGAACATAACCAGTACTATGTTGCTGTGGGAACTGAAAAATTTAAACTCTTGCCATACTTTCAGTGGGTTCCCAGTAAAGGAACTATGAGAGACACAGGCCATGGGTAAGTATTGTTATTTAATTTAAGATGTAAACTTTTCATATAAAATAGCATTACTTGTAATTTGTATCACGTGATTCTATAAGCAAACATAATAGAACAGATTTTTTTTTATTTTAAATTAAACTTACAGTTTTGACCAAGAATAATGATTGTTTCATTCATTAGAAGATGTGAACTTGGTGTTTTGGATAATGGAGTGCAGAAAAGAATCATACAAATGTGTTGCTGTTAGAACAAAAGTAACAAAGAGGATAACAACTGAAAGAGATAGACTGTTTTTTTAAAGTCTAAGTCTAATTGCCTTCAGATTGCTGCTGATTTCAACTAAACACCAAATCTCAATAATAAAATAAAAGAGTAAAGAGAATTTTTCAGATGATTAGATGAGCTGCAGTTTGAATGTCTTTTTTTTTAACAAAAAAACATTTTAAGCACTTAGAAAAAATGTTCAAAAGAGCAATGAAGAAGAATATGGAAGCCCGTTTCCGCCAGGAACTAAAAAAAATGCACGGTGGTTTCTCAGAATTACAACTTAAAAACTCAGAATTGAGACATGAAAACTCAGAATTGCGACTTGAAAACTCAGAATTGTGACTTAAAAACTCAGAATTATGACTTGAGAACTCAGAATTTCTACTTAAAAACTCAGAATTACAACTTTATATCTCCCCGCAACTCCCCTCGCTGCTCCCACCCTAGTTAATGCCTCACTGCATTGGCTCAAACCCAGGTCTTGCCAGCTGAGCTAAAGAAAACCTTCTTTTTTAAGTAAAAAAGGACATACAATGGAAATATGTAAAAAATTTAAGTTTCAGCTTTTATAACTGTGAATTCCTCTGGATGTGAAGTGTCTATTTCTGTATCTTTTTTCATATTCTGTCTCCGTTTTTGTATTTCTGGTGTTTAAATAAAAACTTTTTTAAAAAGCCCACTGTCCACTATTCCACCCGGGAACTATGGAAGCCTCACTGGCAGAAATGGGATTCCATAATGAGGTTCCCAATATGGCTCATCATAACCTCAGGACTTGCTAGTTTTTATTTCAGCTGAATTAAGTTTCTTAGAAATTCAAGAGAAATAACCACACGCACTAAGAGGTGTTTAGAAATGTTTGTAAAGACGTAAGGCATAAAAAGCTTTGGCCTGAGTGTCAGGCGCCTGGCTGGAAGACGAGGAACCCCCCTCGATGTTACAGAGTGAAATTTAACCAATGGGTGGCAGCAAAGGTGTAGGTGGGATAGAGGAGCCATGCATACAGACAAAAGCAAGGAAGAGAAAGGGGCTTACAATGATATTCATAGCTTTTCTGAAAGAGACAGAACATAATTACAAGTTAGACTAGCAGATTAGAAGGAGAACGTGGTGGCACTCAGGCCTCCTGAACTTTCTTGTTCTAAACTTAAGATTTTATTAATTATTTCTAATTATAATTAATATATTATTAATTATTAGAAAAACTAAAAAGTTACAGATTTTGACTTAGCTTCACAATGTAAGAATTATCTTAGAGGTTCCAATAGTATATAAGTAGCAATCCATGCAACTTTTCAAGTTAGTGCGCTCAGTAGTTCAGTTATCAGTTACAATAAGTAAAAAACTGAATATAAATAAAAGCTAATTGACACTGATATCACCAGGTCTAAGGAACAGGAAACACTGCCATATAAGAAGAGTAAACTAAAGACCAGAGGAATAGTATATGGTGCTAAAGTAGAGTTAAAGAATGCAGAGGATGTGCAGCTGAAGAAAATGTAGCAGAATGTTAGATAAGTGTTGTGTATTACATTGTATTCTCAGATAGCTTTTGGAAAATGCCAAAAATAATGCAAATATACATGATCATTATTTCTTTATTAGCTGCAATTACATGTGACCCACAATTTGACTTACTGTATATACTGTACATTGCTCTATATGGACTATATAAAACATTTTTTATCAATTAATTGTGAAAATATTAACATATCAATTAATGAAACGGTGATTTTGCTGTTCTAGGTTCTACAATGCATTGCTACCTCCATTAAGAAAGGACAAGATAAAAGACATGGTATGTGATCTTCTCAAAAACCTAATCATTTGGAATTGAAACTGTAAGGTGGGCAATATCTAATCTCATTTAAAAGTTAGATACAGTCGATTTTATATTCTTATTGCATAATACTAAGATGATTTATGTACAGGTTAAAGTAAAGTCCAAGCCAGTCACAGCAGCTCATTGTGCCTGAGTTTAGCCTGGTTTCTGTACCCTTAAGTGGACAAGAGAGCCAGTGACCACTGATGCTGGTCTCACTAATACAGCTGGGTGGACTGGAGCAACTGGCATAAACTACATCATTCAAGGTCCTATAGCAGGGTCTGTGGCAGGGACCTTAACCCACAACACATCTGTTAGAACCCACAACACATCTGTTAAGAGTCTGATGGTTTACTCACTATGCTGTGTTACTCCCACTATTTATATTCACAGTCTTAATTTAATAATTTCTAGAAAAACTGTATAAAATATAAGAATAAAGTACTATTTTGTTGTGACATATTCATATTAACTTTATGAATATATGATCACAATATACTTAATAATAAATAATACAGTGTATATTACCTGTTATATAGTATTTGAAAGATTTGAAAATCGAACCATGACATAGCTCATTCTTCCAAGTTTAAAAATCCCATCACTTTCACTGAGAAGTACATTTTGTACGATTTTCAAAGCGTTTTAATTATCTTTACATTTTATTATTATTTATAAGTGGGAGAAAATAAAATATCTGCCATTCTGCCTGGTTTAAAGGAGAAGAAAGATACTGTTTATGACAACTGAATTGGGAATTGAATTGGGGTATAATAGGCAGAAATGTGTTTAGTAAAATATTTAAGTTAGACCTAAAGTGTGTTTTAATGTGAAGAGCTTTGTAAAGGTCTTAGTTACCTGTAAAGAAATACTTAAATCAATACAATATAATACTACAAATACTGTATTATAGTGATTTGCACTTCCTAAGAGGGTAATAAATTCAAGTTATGACCACAGGTCTTATTTCATTTCGTTGAAGTAAAAATATATTTTCAAACTGCAAAATTTAATAGCATTTCAGGCCTGTTCTTTCTATTTAAGTGCAATGCTGAAACCATTCAATCAAACCTTGTACATTATATTAGTCCAGGTGAATAGTGTATCAAGATAGATTGCTCTATGAAGACCAGATGTGTCCAACAATATAGCAATCAGTAAAAATAAATGCCATACAATACATATTCCTCTGAGAATGTATTCTTGTATATTTTGTCTTGTTTGGGAAAAATGTAAGTACAGATTCTATTTTCATATATCTGAGTTGTTGACGACCAGTCAGTATAAAACATTCTCAACATTAAATCTGCTCTTACTTTTACCTAATTGGAAACTTTGATATTTATATAAAATATTATAAGATTTCTGTTAAATATTCCCTTCCTATTAAATACTGCATGAGCCACTTGCTAATGTATGGCATCCTATACAAAGACCAATTTCACTTCAAGATTTAATGAAAAAAAGCATTCCTATACAGCATAATGCAATGATTTGTTTTGTTGATTAATTGTCCTTTATTACACAGATTTTGTCAAGGATTTTGTAGTTAAAATATAAGGTATTACTCAGCGAACATAAATACGGCAAGGAAGCAGGTGACATGGCAGTTAGTGGTGATCAGTCCTGGGTTAGAATGCGACCCGTCTATGGGTAATTTACATGTTATCCTTGTATTAAAGTGGGGTTTCTCCAGTTTCCTCCCACCTTCTAAAGACAGGATGGCTATGTAAATTGTTGTGTGTAAAATATTATGTTGTTTGCCCTGTGGACTGGGCATGGCATCTCAAGCAGCTTCAAGGATGGTGGATGGATATCCACCATCCTTGTACATTTTACAATTCGTATAGGATAACACATTCAACTAATGCCAATGTCCTTTAAAAAATAAGTTTATACCTATCAAGAAAATGTATTTTGCGTTCAGATAATGTTTGGTTCTAACCATGTTATATGAAAGGAAAACTATCTTAAAGAGTAATTACTGTATGTGACACATTTAAATGTGGTTCAGTTGTTTATTTCTCTTCAGCTTATAAAGTTGATTTCTGTATTTGTAATTCTTGGTGGTTGTTATTCATTTTAATGTTTAGAAGCTGTTTTTATAGATATGTCTACCTTTTTAATTAAATTATTTAATAAAAGCATTTTACTTTATTATTCAGTGGTTATTTTATATTAGGTTGTGACCAAGGTTACATTTGGATTTTTTTATAAAAAGCAAAAATGACACTACTTTTTCAATTTCTTCTATTAACAATTTGAAATCCATGTTATTTCCTTGAACTCAATTACACAATTTGTTTTCTTTATACTTAAAAAAATGTTGACGTCTTGACTTTTTCCATAAACAAATGTGTCACAAATTAAATAAGGACAGAATTAGGCTTTTCAGTTATTGCAGAGAAAAACATTGAAAAAATAGAATTTTTCTGGCTGGCTGAATGGCATGACATTTTAATGGTCCCAAAGCAAACAAACATTTAAATATGTGCTTTGGAAATTCTGTACAGTGCTCCATATAGTTATCTTGTGAAGTCTGCAATTATCAGCTTTACAAATGTATAATGAATGTTCAGCCTGAATTTGTCTTCCCAGTATTCACCTGAGGGGGGAGACAGTGACTCTGCTATCTTATCCTCTCCTCTTCAGGTAATCTGGTATTTTTCTTTCAGTGCGGTGAGGTTGTTAAAGAATCTCAGCTTGTTTATGCCGTGCTATCTGTCTCTTTTGCATGACCAATCTGTAGAATTTGTTTCCTGTCAGTCAAAGATTTTTCTTATGATTAAACTGTGAAATCATGTTAAATAATATTTGAAATGTCTTATGGTAATAAAAACATTTATATATTGCTTAGGAAAGTCTGACTTACATTATGCAGACATGATCGTACTGGTAAAATGATATGTTAATTATACTTTTTTATTCCAATAGGTCAACTGAGAACAAATTTTCATGCGTGATACAATCGAGATCTCTTGTCCGTCATTATCTCATGTATAGTAATATGAGCATATTTAAAGAATATCTGTTTGTTGGAGCAGACTTGGAGCATTGCAGTGTGTTATCAGCACTGATAAAGTGAGCAATGTTTGTAATAGCCTGACAGCACTGATATGTGGCACGCCTGTCCAGCTTTCTGCTCTCTGTGAATATCATCAGTAGTTTTCCCTAACAGGAGATTCCATATAACCAAAGCCATTCTTAATAATTAGGGAAATACTTCAAAAGCATCTCGTTATTGTAAAGGTTTAAAAAAACAGCATTTCATTATCATATTTTAGTAACCTCACACAATTTAATCTCAAAGTAGTTTTATTTAGTTTGTTATTTTATTTTAGTTTTATTAGTTATCACACGTTGCTTATATTAGAATAAGGGATCCAACAAGCAGACACCATTGATCCCAACTTAATAATTTAAATATTGTATATACAGTCTCAATTAATGCGATTCAAAAATATTGCTGAGAAGATTCTAAAGTCAACTTGAGGGTTCTTCATTAAAATATACAATGTTTTGGCAGTAACCTCTGGTACTTTTGTCAGTCTCCTAAATAGGGTTTAGTTGCATGGTAGTTGCAATATTATGACAGGAGCCAATACCATAAAAAACACTGCTTTTCCCTCATTTGCATACACTGAAAGTGATTCTTAAAATATTAGACAATGGTAAATGGCTTTGACAGGTATGAGAAATTCCTTATATTCAGATGGATCTGTTTCTACACTCTCAATAGGAAATATTAATGTTTATATTGTTTTTGCTTGAATGATGTGTTGGGGTTTAACTTATATAGCCTTATCAATTCTAATTTATTGTGTAACCCCTGGTTTGTGCTAGGCATTTATTATAGTGAAAACTGAAGGCAATTTTAATTTTTGTCAGTGACATGGATAGATAAATTACCTGATTGAGTTATGTAAGACTAATGTCCTCAAAACAGCAGATGTTTATGGCTTGTTCAGTGCTCCAGGAATAGGTGATTTATTACAAAATCTTCTAGGGAACGTTCAACTGCTGTTGGCACTGGCGGTGGCTGTTGTACTGAAGTTCTAAATGTAGTCTTATTTAGTCTTATAAATCCAACCCATAGACTGCAGGCCTGGTCTTGGACCAGTGTATCTGAAATTAAGACATGAAATCATTTTTAGCATTATGCCAAGATCTATTCCACTACCTTGCAGTATATGTTTTTTTTTCAATGTTTAATTTATTGCATTTAGATCTCTTTTGAGATCCAAATAGAATAGATTATACAACACCTGATTATAGGAAAAGAAAAGAAAATCAGTGACCTTTGCAGACAGTTCTTTGAAGTACATGTGAAGAATTCAGTTTTTATATACATCTATTGAAAATGAAAATAATCTAGTGAGTGAAAAGACATAAATCTAATCCCTGACCCTTGAAAATGGAACTACTACTGTATTCTTAGCTAGCACCATCTCAGATTTAATTTTTGGATTATTTTTGTTTAAAAATTGTTTTAAAACAATATAATGTATAGTGAAAATAATGAAAAATAACTCTGGTGGTGGTAAATATGATAAAAGTAATTATTTGGTTAAATGTCAAGGCAGAACAACAAATGTGCAGGACTCTGGTGATGCTTGTAATACGATGGCCGTGATTCTTTGAGGTCTTGCTCAATAAATCCCTGTTTTTCACTCAACCTGAGTTCAGAGCTGTATTTTTCGTATTGTTTTTCTCTTTTTTTATCGGTTGGGTTTACCTTCGGCACCATGCCTTTGAAGAAGAAGGAGGGTTCGTCCCTGGCTGCAACACACAAGGGGAAATGCTTCAGTCCTGCCCCTGACCACGATGAATTTGCACCCATTATACAGAGAGCTATAGCTGCACAAAGTGATTCGCTTCGTGGCATGATCACAACAATCTTAGCTGAGTCTTTGGGCCCCGTTAACCACTTGTTGCAGGCTTTGCGACAAGAACTTAACACGCAAGTCCACACTGTTGAAAAACTATCTACTGCTGTTGACACACTAAAGTCTGATCTGCAACCAGTGAAAAGAGAATCTAACACCAGCCTGCAGCATCTGAATGAGGTCCAGGCTGAAGTGAAGATAGATCGCAATGCTGTAGTGTGAGGCTAATGGCCCTGCCTGAGGGTGCTGAAGGTGAAGACATGGCTCGGTCCCTCCAGAAGATGCTCTCTTAGTGGATCATTTCCCTTCCTACATTTTCTCCTGTCAAGGGATGAAGACCCAATGGCTCTATGGTGGATCTGTGGGCAGAGTTGGGAGACTAGGGTGTTTGAGGGGGATGGGATGGGATGCGGAGGGGAATTCCTGTAGTCCTGTAAGATCTGCTGTTCCCTGGCACATCTGTGAGGCAGTGCAAATTATGTTTTGACCCCATTGTTTTGTACCTAAATACAGTGTTGTACCAAGTGAAATGGCAGCACAAAATGGTTCTCACATTCTCCAGTTTTTCATAATGCTGGACTCTTAGCTGGTGGGAGCCCCATTCTCTTTCAACAATGGTCGGTTACTGGAATTAAAATTTTATCAGACATCATTGGAGATAACACTCTGCCTTCTTGTTCTAATACAGTATAATACCTCATTCTTTTGTTACTTTGTTCTGCAGTGCGTGCGTATGTGTTTCCCAGGGACACAGAGCTTCTTGTCCATCCCTTATATAAGATACTGGATGTAAGGAGCAAAACTTTGGGATTGGTGCCCTTGCTTTGTTCTCTGTTACTGACATCCTTGTATATATCCGTGTCATAGAAGGCAGCGTCTCTGAGTACAATATTTGGACAAGATCAACCAAGAAAGTGGCAACATTGCTGTCAAATTAATTATGTTAAATCTGGAGGAGACCAGTGTGGTGCTTTTGTTAACATTGCACAAATGAAGCTCTCTACATCTGGGGTCCTTGATGTTGGGGAAGAAATTCTATGTCTCTGGGAGACCAGTGAAGAAAGCATAGTTGGTCCCCCTTCCATCTCCTGAATTGGTTTTGCGGGATCCCTAAGAATGACTGTTTGGGATACAGGCGTTTTTATGGAAAGTGGGAAAGGGGTTTGCTCCTGGGGAGGAGGGGGTTATAGGGGGAATTGTGTTGTTTGTACGTCAATTTTTTGTTTGCTTAGTTTCCACAATAAAAAAAAGATGATCACAAAAAATAAATGTGCTGTAGTTATGTCTATATGTAGAAATGCCGAAGAATGTTTTGTGTATAATGATTGCAGGCAATTTCTAAAACAACAGAATGTTTTCAAAAGGGTAATGAAATATTTAGCTCTGAGGCCAGGTCTGCATCTGTGTTTCAGATTTCACCCCACAGTCTCCATCAGTGCCAGTAGCTTGTCAATATAGACAGATGGCTGTTATCTTATATATCGCTTTCATTCTTCCATTTCTTTTGACAGTCCAAGAAATGTTGTTTTACAAAAGACACAGCATTGACACAATCAGTTATTTGTGTTTTGCCTCTTTTACTGAGCATTTTGGTTCCCATTCCCTACTTTCATATTATTCTTAATAACATAAACCATTACCATATTTGCATAGCACAAATATAGCACCATAGCACAAATTTAACCACCAGCCCTGTCATCAGACCTGGGCAGTATTTTCATACAGACTTAAGGGGATGTTGGAAACAAGCTAATGAACTATCAGTAGCTAAAACAGGTTGTTACAACTTTACTTTTTGTAGCCTGAATATACTGTAGTGTTAAGATTGGTTGTAATTGGGCAGTTTGGAAATAATATTTTGGAAATATACTGTAGTCAGTGTGCAGTACAATGCATGCATGATATGCAGTGAAATTTATTATTGTAATGTGCAACCGTGCTCTTCTGTTCAAGACAAAAGAGATCACATTCCTATAACTTGCACATTCTTTTTAGACTTAGTCTCAGATTTGTTAAGCCTATTCAGATGTAGATTGGAAATCTAGTGAATGTATTTTAAGCATTACCTAAATTAAACAAAAATTAGATGATTTTTTTCCATAAATGATCTAAATAGTCAAACTTGTTATTTTTCTCCGTGGGAGCATGGGAATTTTGAACATGAGTAATTGTGCATGGGAAATATTTTCTACATACTATAATTTTCTCTACATGCTCTATATGCTGACAATAGGCTTTACTATTGTTACTATAAATCATGGTTTATTGGAAAAGATGTTGGTAACATACAGTAGGTAATATGGTACGTGGTTGACAAACCTTTGTTCATAACTATAAAAGCTGTAGGGATAGCTACTGTTGGAAACATAAAAAATATCCCTCTGTCTTACTGTTTATTTTGAACTACAAAATGACTGGGACCTCCCAGGGTTAACATACTAAGAGAAATGAATCACGAAGTGTATGTATTTCCGGGCTTAGATCAGTCTGGGATTTCTTGTGATTTTTTGTAATAATATTGCCAAACTCTATGTGCCTTGCAAACCTTTTCTGTTTGAACTTCTTATTAAAAAGTCAAAGGCTTTTCAAAATTAAAAAAAATCCCAAATCTCTGTCTCTCCATTCTTTTATCCCCAAGAGTCTATGTTAATAAACGAAAAAATGACATTTCCTGACATCTCTTGCTGTAGACAATAAAAAGATGAGATAGTTTTGCTATGGACAGGGCCTTAGTCACTCAAAAGATTACAACCGAAAAACTATTTCATTTGCTTTTCTTTGTAAGAAAGAAATAACTTCCATGCTAGCAATGTCAATAGGTGCAAACTATAATATGTACTATCTATATGCATAAAAAAACAAAAAACTGAAACATTATGGAATTATAGTTCAGATTTATACCTTCCTATTCCCTGAGCAGAATGAGTAAATGCATCTTCTTTTCTGTGCTTTGTTCTGTGTTTTTTTTCTCTCCCAAGTCTCTTTTTATTATTAACATTCTGCAGTATACCTCTGAGTGAATTATTCCTGGAACACCTTTACCCTTTAAGCTTGTTTAGGATTTTTACTGTTTTGATCTTGCTTGATATATAAGACGAATGCAGTTAGAAATTCATGGCTGCCTAGTTTCATCAATAAATGATTAGTTTGCTGTGCTCTCTGGTGATTGATAGGCTTTGCATGTGTTGTATTGGAACCAGATGAATTCAATACTCTGAAACTCGCAGGGGAACTACAAAGCATATCAGTTCATGAAACATTGAGGGCCATGTTGGAAATAAAAGTACAAAGTAAATTTCTGGTACTTTCTTTAAGAAAACAAACAAATTTGCAATGATAATGCTATCAAATTAACTAAAACAGTGTCAGTGTCAATACTTTCTTTGTTTAAGAAAACAAACAAATTTGCAATGATAATGCTATCAAATTAACTAAAACAGTGTCAGTGTCAAAATACTTTTTTGTGTGTAGTCCATGGATCGGAGAGGTCCATCAATTGGGCACTTGAGAGACCACACAGACTCCTTTTTCTACGCTAAGGAAGAGAGGGCAAAACAATCCAAACAGTCTTCAAAATTCCCAAATCTACTCTCGACAGGGGGTAAGTAAAAACAATGTGATTGTACAGTATATGTATTTCTGTCTCTGCTACCTTTGGATAAAATAAGAGCTGGGGCTGTTGTCTTTTGAAATGGATTTGTAAATGGGCCCCAGGCCACTAGAGGTTTCTGTAATTGTGGCATTAAAATTAATTTGTTTTGAATTCATAAACTATTCTTCTAACAAGGATGGCCTGGATATGAGAAGCATACTGGTTACCCAAGAAAGACTCCAACCCCTATACTCTGTAAATTTTTAATTAAGGCCTGGAAAAAGCAAGCACTGCAAATAACATAGTACAGTTAGATGCATTTTGATAAAGTAAAAATATGAATCTTTATAATGTTAGGTAAAGGAGATGCCCTTCCTGATTAGTTTCAGAATGGGACACAGAAAGACTCCTTCTTAAAGTCGGGATAACTTTAAATTGATAGTTTCTAAGGCTAAATTGTAATATAATGAAGCCAGGTGACATACTTCAGTTGCTCCTTTAGTACATTAAAATATACTTTTAGATTAGAAATCACACAATCTAAAATAAAGTTAATCATCCTAACATTTTAACTTTATGATGTAATGACTTAAATATTGTGATATTTAAAGGAGCTGGTAACAAATACTGATGTACAGTATATGGTTACTTGAGAAACATCATTTTACAAAGTTTGAGGAAAACAAGTCATTCAATATAGTACTTGGTTATTTATGTTACTTTTCACTCTTTATATGCTTTTTAAGTATGTAATCAGTGATTTTGAAACTTAAAGCAAGGGCCTAAACTTTGGGTACACTTTATGTACAGCAGGTGCAGTAGCATTTAGAAAACGAAACACACTTTTATACTACACACTCAGATGTTGTTCTATGATTTGCTCCAGAAATGCTTTAATTTAAAAATGTATCAAAGATAGAAACAAGTGTCTGTTATAAGTGAATATTTTAATGTGAACTTATACATTTGGTCTTAATTGTCCATTTATGGACAGTGAACATTATTCTTAAATCATAATACTCAAGTTTCCTATATGACAGTGCTCTCTTATTCAATCTTTCACAAAGTACAGAGAATATCTTCTGTGTACAGTAGGTCCATGAATGCATTAAGTGATGGCATCATTGATTTCCATAAAATAAGTCAAAATAATTAAAGAGTAATATATGATTCTGAGGTTAAGATGTACAGTAATAGAGATTTGGCTCTTTTCTCAGAGGGAAGTGTGTTCAAAGCTAAACACAAGAGGAAGGAAACTCAAGGAGCTTATGAGGTTCAAGAAGACAGTCATATGAAGGTGGACTTGCCTATTGATCAGGTGACTGCAATTTCTACATAAAGAAGGTGGCTGAGCAGATTATATAATAAAGCTTTGGTTTGCAGTAGACAATGTTTTCAAAAGATGTTAGCAGGACTGAATGTGACCACACATTCTAGCATAATAACATCCATCTATTTTCAAACTGCTTCATCCACGTCAGGGTTGTGAGAAGCTGGAGTCTAACCAGTACAAGGTGGGATACACCCTGGACGAGACGCCAGCACATTACATGGCACACACAGACACACACATGCACAAACTCACACCAAGGTCAATTTTCCCAAAAGCTAATTAAGCTACCAGTATGTCTTTGGACTGTGGGAGGAAAGCACCGCAGGGCAGTATGCTAACTACTGTGCCACCGTGCTACCCTAACATTATACCTGTATCTCTAATGATGTACTGTATGAATTTTTGCTGTGCAGCAAATATAGTAAATATATATTTTATAAACATATACAGCAAATATTGTAAGTGCAAATAGATGAAAAGACATTTCTGTATATACTGTACGTATTTGTTGCTTTTACTCTTCATTCTTCACTCTTCATTGTCAGTTCCTTGTAAAACTCCAAGACTGGTGCACCCAGTAATATCATAAATTATTAAACAAATTAAGCTTGATTAATATAATTAACTATAGGTAAAGGTTCATTGCATTCTGAAATATAAATGAATGAAAAGAAACACCGTTTCAGCTGTGGAAGCTCCTGTTCCTCTGCCACATGCTGTATGCATGCTGACGCAGTTCTCTACACGAACATAATTAACAATATTTGCTCTTATTGAAAGCTGATGTAAATAAGTCAATTAGGATATTGAATGCTGCACAGAACTCAGGTTCTTCACTACACTTGATAAAGTAAGCACATGAGACAGACAAGAGAATGTCCTGTTTTGGTAAAGGAAAATAAGTCTGGAGGATATCCTGTAGTGTTTAAATTGTTTTCACTGTCTTTACACCATGGCAAATAACAGAAATAAATTACATATGTTATTAATTATGCTTACTAATTTGCTGTTATTGTTCTTTACGGTTGACAAAGTAATTATCTCTGATTAATTCTGAATATGAATATACAGTGGTAATTGGATCTCTGAATAAGGAGTTGCAAATAATTATGTTTTTGTTTGTTCTGTTGTTCTGCTCCTAGGTCATAGCCAAAATTGTTGAAGAAGAACAGATTGACAGTGGCAATCAACTTCAAAAAGAGCATAAAGCAAGGGAAAGCCGCAGTCCCTATAAGATACTTCTGAAGGATGGCAAGCAAGCCAGCATTCCAAGTATCCAAACGACACCTTCACCTCAAAATACCTCTGATCCTAAACACCCACCAAAACAAGACTGTGAGTTATCTGGAGACTTCAAAAAGGTTAGTATACCAACAAAAGTGTAGGCTGTCACACTCTATTTTCTTTGAAAGGTTTTTGAATGTATTACAATTTTATGCACAGACTTCTGCTGACATTTCTCAGGAGCAACATAGACAGCGACAGCGACAACCCAAGGGTCTGGAAAAAAATGAGAAAGATTCCAGATCTGCCAACTCTTCACTGAAGAAAAGACATAAAGGTGGACGGAGTTCTACCTCCCTGACAGCAACTGATCAAGAGCTACCTGGAAGTTTGAAAGAGGTAAGTAAACCTCAATTTTAAAGGCATTCGGAGCAAATACACTTTCTTTAATATTAAATGCTTGCATTAGCTATGGTTTGAAAAGTAATTATCACAATTTCTCCATTTGTGAAATGGCTGAATAGAAGCTCAACTTTATTATTTAAATTATGGATAAAATTCATTTCTGGCTAGAGGCTTAAATATCAGAGTTATATAACACTGCATAATAGATGAAAATCTGTCCTATTACATTACATATTATGACAAGTCCGATAGGAAGAAGTTTTAAACTTAAACTTTTAAAAAGTGTTGGATTGTATTTATAGGTTATGTATGTACAGTAAGTATAACAATATTTGCTCTTTACTACTATAATGTCATGACATGTGACCTCCCCAAGCATTGTCCCATTAAGGTTTGGCAAATTTAATGACCTACCATTATGTTGTAACTCCAGGCTGACCTCTCTTGGATCATAGATTACACATTATTCCCCTTTGTACTATTTTAAATAAGTTAAACGTTTATGATAAAAGCCTGTACACTTAACTTCTTTTTCACAATAAGGGATCTTGAAGTACAGTATGTGTTGTACAGGAAAATGATGTTAATCATAAGGAATGTAAATTTTGAGTAAGACTTTACAACCAGTTTGTTTTGTAGATCTGGCCATGACATGGGTTAATAACCCAGCTCTTGTGAAGAGTGCCATGGGTTCTTTAATCTCCAGTGTGAATTGTAGTCAATTTTAATGCCTCACCTGTGAGACAACATCTCTGACAGTTACTTGTACCATAATTTGGAATTTCTGAAAATGTGGAAAGAGTGGCGTTTATTGAGTGCAAAAAGGTTTCTTATGATGTCTCCCAAAAACTAACCAGGCCTAGCTTTATTTAGATTCTAAAATCTGACAGAATAAAACATCAAGAATGGATAGCTGTTCTATTCATTAACTGGGTTAAGAGGACTAAGCTAACACTTATACATTTACTCAATACATTTACATTCTATTTAAGTCACATGTGCCAAAAGCCTAATTCTGAGATCTACATACAGTTATACGTTTACTGTTAATTTTACTGTTTAACATTATCTAGTCATATCTATTATTTTACTAAGAAAGTATTATCTCCACAGCTATTGGTGTGTACGTAATATATACATAGCAGGAATAACATAGGCAATAAAAGACAATAAAGTTGTAGTTTAATTATGCATTGAGAGACTTGTATAGCATATTGGTCTGACCTAAATAGCAAATAAGCAAATAAACTCTTTAAAAAGTGAAGATTTTGGTTTATATCAAAGAATATTTCAAAATGCATTGTTTAAAATGTAGGTAGTAGACTTTCAGCATGACAGTGATGGGATTGCTGTAGTATGCTCTTTTGTAATAAAGACACTTATTGAAATAATTATTGACTTTGGAGGGCAGTTATTACCTTGTTAAAGGCCACATCAATACCATTATCCCTTAATTAACACATTAAGCAAATCAGAAAAGCATTGCTGATTCAGAACTGTGGTAGATCCAGTGAGCAACAAGACTATAACAGCAAAGACTTAATTCTTCTCTTGTAAATCAGGAGACATGGTTAGTGAAATCCTTGTGAGTTTCGAGAAAACTTTATTATTTTAGTTTTTATTTATTCCATTACTTTTTATTTATAATTTCCCAAATGTTAGCTTTTGTGTCTTTAATCTGGCAGAGCAGTGGGCAATTGGAGAATCCATCCATTTTCTAACTGCTTTATCGAATACAGGCTTGTGGTGGAGCCAGAGCAATATTGGGAATTATATTTTTTTATTTTTTACTATAACATTTCTTAAGCAGCAAAATCTACTTCATAATTGCCACCTCAGTTTTTTTTTACTAAGAAAGCCTTTCTAATACATGTAAATTGCATTAGAGTAAATAGGCTTTCGGTGTCATTGTTTAAAATAAGTTTAAAGTCATCTTAGAAGAGTAAATAAAGTGGTTACTTCTTAAGGCTTATTATAGTCTAATTTACTGAGGCTTACTTTTTCCCTTATATTATAAACTCTCCTGATTCTATGATGTTGAATAATGTGTTAAAATTAGTTTAGAATGGGTATTGTTAAAATTTATTCTATACAACAACTGCATTTTGTCCGTCATTATTTGTGTCGTTTTGTACCATGTATCTGCTTCAAGTGAATTCAAAAGGTTGTGCTTCACTTTCCACTACAGCTACCTAAATGTTGTCTTTGAAATTAAATATGCTAGTCATTTGTTCACACAGACCTTTACATTTCACACATGGATCTAGAATGAAAACAAATGAGAAAAAAAGTTCAAGAGCAAGCCTATGTAAGCCTGCATAAATTTCTGTTTATCTCAACCTTTTGTTTTAATTTACTGCTATTGGCTTATTTGGTCAGTCAGTCACCTAAGCGTTTCTTCTTAATTAATATTGTTAGATATGTCAATATAACTAGGGATGCTTGATCAATTGTCTTCCTCAAACTTGAAGTCTACGGAACAAATTTTGTGATAAAAATCAAATACTTATTGATTTACTCCATTGATCCCCCAATTTTATGCCACTGCAATTTCTCTTCATTCGTCTTCGCCTGTTTCCTGAATACTGTTCCCCAGCTTAGGTTAGCGGTTTCAAAGCTTGCTACACAATCAAGGTCAACTTTAATCAAGTCAAACTCTAAGGCCAGAATTAGTCTGAGCCAAATCAGACTTGGGCTTTTAGAGTAGCTATCATATTGTTAGATTCTCTCTTTATCAGAAACTGTATTACCAAGAATCCAAATATTGGGATATTATCTAATTCTTACCAAGGCCTTGCAACAAAATACTAAATAAAAAATATCTTTACAATACTTAGTTTGTCAGCATAGATACTGGAAATAAAGTTGTACTTCACATATACTCTTCTCACTTCTATTTAAATTAAATTATTAAAATATTATTTATTTTTTACATCATAAGCTCAAAATAGCCAGCTTGTTGTCTTAGTTTTTATTGTTTTGAGTTTAACATTCTCTTTTCAATCTCCTCCTGGAACCTAGATCTATATTTTCGTTCCCTCTAAAGACAGACCACCTTGTCCTCTTCCTTTTCAGTTGTACTTCACATGATTCTATTCATACAAGTCATTACATCATCTCATCAGTTTCACTCCATCCTCATTGGTCAACAGGCACTAGACCATTCATATTCTGTTAAACCCATTTTCATATATTTATCAGCTTTACTGTTTAACATAGTCTTAGACCTGCAGGCACTAGAGAATGCAACTTTCTCCTTGAATTAACTCCTTGGTGTTGAGAAGGTCTCTGTGAACTTTGTACATACTGTTTATGTTGACACTGTAATATTTTATAAGGTGGACATAAACTGGTTTGAACTGGAATGGAAGAATGCTGGACAGAAGGGCTGCTATGTAATTCTATGTGTTATATAGGAACGCCTGCTTCAAAACTAAGTAACCAAAAGATTTCTTTGGCAAAAAAGTGTAACAATGCGGGACTGTGAGGAGCCCTGAGAGAACCGGTAAAAGTCAATGCCCTGCACATGTGAGGTCAGCAAAAAAACTAAAAAAAAGAAAAACAAAAAAGCACACCACTTTCCACAGCGGTGTCCAGACTGGACTATCCCTATTTAATGGGGTCCAGTCTGGAGAAGAAGTAAGACTGTTGGGAATAGTGTCATGCAGTTAAGACTATCCCTGTTTAGTGGGTTCCAGACTGGAAGAAAACAAACAAGGCCAAAACAAAAGAAGACTCAACCTTCCCCGGTGAAACCTCACAGCGGGACAGGGGAAAAGAAAAATGTGGCCTCAGCACTCTCTTCACAGTCCTCTCTGGGACTGTCTCTGAAATGCTCTCCCCTTACGGGGGTATCGAGATGGAGCCCCTCTTGCTCGCCCCTCCGGGGAGGTGCCCAGTGTGTTCTTAAAGGGCCTTCACAGCTGTGTCACAGCCAGGGCAGCTATGGTCGCTAAGGCAGTGCGTCACACTTAATTCAGGGCCCTGCCTCCACACTGAAAATGCCTTCACTATATGCCACCTAGGGAAGAGGAAGATGAGCATCGGGGAAACATGACAGAGAACAGAAAATTTTAATCGCTTACTCCTATTTCTCATGACTCCTGATTGTCTTTTAAGGAAAGTAGAAAATTCTTTCTATCGTTGGTTAACTAGAAATGTAGACCCTTTGCAATATACACCAAGCAGCCTGGCAAATGATCTACCCAATGATCAACTTTCGAACAACCGAGTACAGTAAGGTCTCGACATCTACAAATTTAATGTTTGCTAAAATAAGGTTAGGGCTGTTAAGCGCAACTTTCAGATTAGCCACTCAACACATTAGGATGGTGAGATGAATCTACCTAGCGAATGAGCCTCTCCCTGCCTCTTGCCCAAGTACCCACTACCCTTGATCTGCATCTCAACATGGTCTTGTTTGTGTATGGTAATGAACACTCCCAGTTCTATTACGGCAGCAAGTGGAATGACAGGCTGGAGATGACTTTGTAGGCTCACTATTAGTTTTATTGTCTGTTTCATTACATGCTGATCACGTAAGATAATTTATTTTAGCTGATTACCATACAGTAAGTTTGTGATTACTGTTGTTTGTTTCATTTGATCAATATTATTTTATCACCAATGTACTAGTATTTTAATTATCATATAAGGCAGTGTTATCTATGTTTTTTAACTATATACTGTAATTTGTTATGACATAGTATAGTGGTGAACATGGTTATATGCAACTTTGGCTGTTCCCGGTGGTTCTCTGCACTGAATCCTCACAAATGTTAAGACCCTACTGTACTTATTACTCATTCAGAGCAGCTGTGTCTCAGTCAACAGGTTCTTTCAATCAATCAGCCATGCTAAGTCACTCCAACACTTGGTACTTAACTTACAATTAAAATGAAGATTATCTAAGTTTACCTGGAGTACAGGTTTAACATATTGTAAAATAGAGAATAGGGTTAAAAATGATAAATTTCATTCAAGAAATTCTGAAACAACATTAAAAATTAAATGATTTATGAAGTAGTGCAGGTTTTGATTACAGCTGTCTGCAAACTTTGTTTTGTTAAAATATACTGTATGTGGCTAGTGGACATGTATATTTATTAAACATATAGTGTTATAGACTATTATGTGTTCCTACAATTTAAGTGATGTGCCTGTAATGGTTTTTAGCATTGTTCACATATTGAAAATGACATTTTTAAATTTGCAAACTTGAAGTCTACGGTACTGTAAGTCTATTAACGTGTGTCACAAAGATACAAAGTGTGGCATCTAAACGGTATATGTGTGCAACTATATAAAATTATTGCATCAGGCTCTGCATATCTTGAACAGCTCCCAGCAGCCTTAAAGATACCATGGAGTTCTGCTCTGTTACTTGACTTAACAATTAATTGAACTCACAAGATCTTTACTAGGAACTGTTTTTATGCTTTTCTATCACTTGGCCCATCTAATTCAAAAGAATTTTCTAAAAAGAATTCTCCAGCATGTTTAAAACTATTAAGAGTTCATCTTAATTAAAGTATATTATTGGTGTGATTATGAGTTCATCGGCAAACAAAAAATGTATTAAACCACTAAATATCTAGAACAAGTGTAATATAAACCAAATATCTCAATTAAACCACACGTAAACACTGTGGTGGCTGATGGCAAGTCATGTGTCCAAAAAATGTGCCTCAGATCAACTTGAATTTCCTTGCAACAGTGAAATTATCTAAATGGCAAAGAAAAACTGCTTTCACCTTAACTTTCAAAAATGTTTCAGAAATGTTCATAAGTATTTCAAATAATACTCACGTAAACCTTTTCTGGTTTATTCTCACTAAACTGTTCTTTTTTTAAAACTACCTTATGACTTATCATATAAACGTATAAATTGCAACAAAAGAAACTGGTTTATGTTTCAGGAAGCAAAAGAGCAGGAGAGGTTCTCAAACCTGTTTGGAATACGGTTACCGATGTCTGACGTTTTCAAGGGTAGGTTTATGAAAGTATAGTAATGTCACTGCAGTAAGTCCTAACCTCTGATTATCAGTGGCCTGCCGTGTAATCAGAAGATTGCCACATGAACTTTTTTAAGCCAACAGGTATTACCTTTGGTGGAACTGGATAATAATTATTTATTTGCTAATGATCTGCTTTTTTAATTTTCACTCTATGTGATTGTGAAAAACCCTTATCCTGTCATGGCAGACCCAAGGTCTGCATGCACAAAAACTCACAATGACTGCCAGAAGTCTAGAGCAGGAAGCTTTATTTTCTGATTTTAATATAAACACCCCCACTGTACCAAGACAACTTTACAAAACACTCAATAAGACACCTTTACAAAACACTTAATACTGCAAGCTATGTGCTTGCCCTTCAAATACCAAACCAAGAATCTTTAACTCTCCTGTTTTGAAGAGCATTCTTTAACTCTTAACCATAATAATAATTAATAAATAATAAGAAACCAATTAATCTCCACTGTGACTATTTATAAGTAGTTTAGAGTCTCTATGGTGGCTTCTAATTGCATTCCAGCTGCTGACTTTCCTGCAACAGAGTTTCTTATATTTAAAAAAAAACAACTCCATATAACTCACCTTTATTGCAAACAACTGTTTGATCCATACCACTTTACATATTACACAAACTGTAGTTTTTAGAAACATTTTGCTAAATTAAAATTCATAGAGGTCTATAATTTAGATGTTCAAAAAACGCATTTCACAGCATCTGCAATTAGCTTATTTGTGAAATGAATGGGAGTGTGGTGAGTCTTGTTTCTAACTGATGTGTCACTAACAAGTCTTACTCGTTTCAGGTGATAGATTAAAAAAAGTGTTTAAAGGTTCACATGTCGAAATCAATTGAATGCTTGTCTTGTCAATGGTCACAGATAATTGGACGTTATTTAATGATCTAGTATAATCAGCGTTACCAATTTCCCTCTTGTTCCATGGAATCCAGTTCAGTAGTTTAGTAACTATAGAAGTAGTCGAAAGATTTTTTACATTTTCTAGAGAAATAAAATAACATTGAATAAATACATTTAAAAAATGAATTTCAAAATTTCCTGTCTTTTTGTAGGATCCTAAAGTTTAGGGCTCAACCACTTAACTGGCAAGTCTGTTGTAGATACCTGCTTTCTAGATACCTGATTCCTATTTCCTATTTCCTATTTCCAGTTCAATATGAATTAAAATTTAATTTAGATCTCAGTTGTGACCCTGTGCCTGTGTTTTATTACTAAACATGAAATAGTCCCCAGGGTTGCCCCTAATGATTAAATACTTGGATGAAATATCCTGTCAATCTTCTTTGTTCTAGATATAGAATAATATGTTTTTCATACTGCTCATACTGTACATACTGTATACGGCACTGTACTCCACTTCTTTATCTTGTTTCTCCCCTTTGCCATTTCTGGGGTTGTAATATGCTTGTGGTATGGTGACTTTGACTTAAAATAATGACCTAAACAAGGTCTTACTAGTATATTGTGAATATTGCCTTGATTTAAACTGTAAGGTTTTGCTATTGTATATATCCAGGCACTTGGATTTGCTCTCTTATTTTCCCACATTATTTTGAAGAGGATATCTACAGTACATAAATATACAGATGTCTTTTTGCTGTATAAATTTACCTACATGCTATGCATAGCATGTTATTTTACTTAGATCTAAAAAAATGTGCTGTTATTATTAAACACATCTGCATGGTATGTAAAAGCGGAGGCATTCTGTCATTTATACTATCAAATTTTAATCAAGTATTCCTAAATATAAACAGAACAGGTATACATTATCTTACCTTTTACATTGGTTACACACCACCCCAATATTTTATGTAACACACTTTGTTAATCAGAATTTGTTTTATTTTTTTGTGGTAAACATTTGGGTCTAAGTTAATATTCCCAGACAGGAAGAGACTCAGAACATTCTTACAAAGTATTTTATTTTGTAAGTGTATTATTCCTTACATCTTGCATGAGCATTTCCCTAAGAGAAGACACACTTAATAATGTAAGGCTGTACTCAGATTTTCCATTCTATATGTCTGTTTTCTTTCATTTACAGTAGGGTGAGCTACTGTAGATGAATGAAATCTCTCATTCTTGCTGGATCATTATGGTAATGTTTTTCCTCCTGCAGCAACCACTTGTGATTGACTTACAGACCATTTAGACATTGCCAAGATCAGCCTCTGTATTTCAGCAGTGTAAATGACCTTGTTGAAAAGGTCATTTTCAGAAGTCTGGCATTGTCTATAAATAAAACTCTTTAGTCTTAGAGCTGAAGAAGTTTATTAGACTGTGTCTCAACAGATTTAAATATGCCTCATGTATTTCCTGTTATTAAGTAATACTCCTAGGTGACAGAAAAATAGAACTGCTATGTCTTATTACGCAATGTTGACAAGTGAGCCTCAAGCTGTATTTTACGGTAACCCCCATTTTGACTAATCACAATGTTTTTTTTATTATATATTATAGTGTGCTGAGTGATTTACTGCATGGAAGCATTTACTAGTTTTCATGAAGAAAATTAAGTGCCTATAATTCATATTCATATGCCTATAATTAATGTTTTTTTTAAATCAGGGATTTGTTCACTGTCATTACTGTATATATATTTTAACAAAGAGGTGTATATAACACATGACAGTCTTAACATATCCTGGCTCCAAAGTGGCTCAGCCTTTGCCTGTTGCACTGTTAGAACCTGGTATTGAAACTCATCTCCTGTTCAAACTTGGGTTGTGTCATTAGCTGACTGGGATTCTCCAGGTTGTGATGCACAGCAGGCTAAGTGTGTCGCAGAGCCGTTAGGCTTCACTTGTGAGCAGCCTGTGGATTTAGAGTGTTGTCATTACAAAACAGATTGCTTGTACTAGCTTCTTCTCCATGCCCATATTCTGGCCATCCTTTTCTTAGTCCTAACTGTCCTGTGAAGCACTGTAGATTTTACAAAATGCTAGATTCAAATTAGCTAAAATGGTGGGCATGTTAGAGACATCTGTGCTGATAGTTGGATAGTACCACATCAATTTGATAAACAACATCAAATTTAAAATGGGAAAGTAAAGATAAATGAGCAGTAATTCTGTATTTATCATATACTCAATTACTGTTTTAGAATATTTTTGTAATTGAACTATGCAATTAATCTTGTTGATTTTGTGCTTAAAGTAATTTCTTATTGTGGAAGATTAATATAGTATTGTAATGGGGAATTTTTTTTTGTGTGTTTTCAACACTTTAGGACAGGCTAGAATATATTAACTTAGCTCAGGTACTGTATGATGAGTTTTCCACCTTTTCAGTTTTTTGAAAAAATAGAACAATCTGAGCATTTGTCTCCAAATATTAAAACCAGGATAGAATTGGGAGAAATTAACTAGAAACACTGGTTTCTACCAGTATATAAAAATCTTTCACAATATGCACGTTTTATTTTATGGTGTCTATTTAAACATGCATTTTTTGCTTTTCGATATATATTAATACCTTGTATGCACAAAATCTAGATTAATTATCTCTAACATTTCTAAATAGCTTTCTAAGTCTGAAGATTATTAGGGAAATATATAAATATATTTGTTATTGTATGATTAAATTCTGAAATTCTTAAAGTCTGAAACCAGCATGTTTACCTTTCATCTTAGGTTATATGATGAGAAACAATTTACTTATACTTGTTAGCAACAGATTTGCAACAGTATATTGCATTAGGATTGCATTAGTGGGGCATTAGGACCCACATAGACCGCAGAGTGAGTGCCCGCTCCACTCACACCTCTTCCAGCACCAACTTAGTTTTCCCCAGGAGGTTTCCCATCCAGGTAGTGACCAGATATACCTACAGTATATCTTTAGTAGGTACATCAGTTACTAGCAGTTCAGTTGGTAATTGGTCATATTTATGCTTCATTGTTTTTTCTGTTTGCATAAATGGCAGATTAGATTTACCAAAGTCTGTTGTTACTAGTTTTATAAATCGCTCATTCTATTTTTATAATAGATAGCCCCACAGTGTATTGTGCAGAAGAGCTGTACAAATGTAACAGCACTCAGTGAAACTGGGTGTAAAAAGGAAGTGACACCACCCCTTCAAATGTTTACAGGGGCAGAGCAGAGCTGAACTCTCCACACTTAGTCAAATTGTGACGTGTTACAGGTGCTTAAACTGTAGGGATTCAAATGGGTACACAACAAATGCATCTTTTATACCTCTGAAAAACAGATTTAACTATTTCATTAATTATTGTGTTACTAGTTTCCCTCTTGTAAATGTTTCAATATTTATGAAAATATAAAAATTAGTGCACCTCTACCAAATTTAAAACAACAATGTATCATGTTAAAGGTGAGGTCAGGTCAAGTATGGATAGTTGAAAATGAGATGTGTCAGTTTTTTTAAATAAAATAAGATTTGGTTATTTATCAGTTTTAAGCATGTAAAATATTTACATTAAACTGTAATACAACATCATGTTTAGGAACAAATAGAGGTTTGCACAACTAAAGAGACTGCCACAGCTAAATAAATTCTGTTGTGTGCTCTAATTTCATTTATTTGAAACTTTTTAATTTTCAGTGTGAAATTGATCTCTTCTTTTTCCTTTGCTGTATGCGTGCTGATGCAGCCCCCCATTGAACTTTTATAGGTATGTCTGCATTACATTGGTCATATTAATTCACAAAACTCATTGAGTAATGTGTAGTTAAATTTAGCTTGAAAACTTTGTAGGGATTTTTATTGCCGTTCTTTAAAATAGTTCGAATCAGTAGCAAAAACACCTGGTCATACAGTACCAAATAAACAGTACCAAAGAACAAAAAAACAGATAATAACATTTGTCTACTAAATATCTTAGTAAAGGTGTTTTTTAACTGTATGAAAATATTTAATTTTCTATATCCAATTGGAGATAGTACTCTCTGCTCTTCCCTTTTTTGTTGAAACAATTTTGTCTAATTTTATCGATCGTTCTGCATGAAGGGTGTATATTATTGCTAGCAATATATATGGGCTAAAGGTTGGATATTGACATCTCTTTTTCAGACAAAACCAAGAAGTGACCTGGTTCAGAGCTTGTCGGAGGTGTGTATTCTTAATTTCTTCTTCTTTGTTTGAACTGCCAAATTGCAAAAGGTTCCTTAAGATTTCACTTACTATTACTGTTGTTCAGTGTACATTTTTACATTTCACCTTTTGAATGAAATTCAGATTAAATCTCTTAGGTAAAACTGAAAATTATTTTAAATCCATGGAATGACTATGGGGGCAGCATGGAGGTGCAGTGGTTAGCAATAGTGCCTCGCAGTGCTGAGGCCCTGGGTTCAATTCTAAACCTGGGCTACTATCTCTGTGGAGTTGTATGTTGTCCCCATGTTCTAATGGGTTTTCGTGGGGGGCCCTGGTTTCCTCCTACAGTCCAAACACACTGATAGGTTAATTGGCTTCTGGCAAAATTGGTGCTGGTGTGAATCTGTGCATGTCTGTTTGTGTGTGCCCTGCGACACACTGGTGTCCTGTCCAGGGAGTATACCGCCTTGTGCCCCTTGCTTGCCAGGATAGGCTCTGGCTGCCCTGTGACCTTGAATTGGATGAAATGGTTAGAAAATAGGTTGATAGATGAAGAACTTTGGAGATTTGGACATATTCAACCTTCATTTTTCTCACCCACAATTACCTTTATTTTTCTTTTTGTTTAAATAAACAAAATTAATATAGATATATTTGCAATTATAACATTAACACATCGCTGGCCTAAATTTGGTAATTAGTTTTGATGTGTATCTATTTGTGTATTTTATTGCTACTTTTTCTACAGTATGTATTTTTTGGACATGCATTAACCTCAATTCACTTTCCTCCAAAGGTCAAATACCATGGTTATTTCCCGGTATATACAGTTATGGTAGAATCTATATACTAATAGATTATTATAAGGAAGTTTAGTAACAAAAACTTAACATACCACAATATTTTCCCTAATGGAATATCCCACTAAAGGAATTATATTTTTTCTGTTCTGAAACCACTGGTGATTTATTCCAGTTTTGCCGTGGGATGGCCACACAGAATATTACTCTACACTTAACACATTTGCCACCTTTTCAGAATTAGAAATGAGAAAACTCAGAAGATCTATAAAAAGGTCTATTAGTATTCTGTGTATCAAACCACAGAATTTCCAAATTTACACATGATATCAAAGCTCTTGCAAACAGTTTCACATGTGTGAACATCTTGAGAAAAGGTAGAAATGTCAAAATGACCTTATCTGAAGATGAAACCTTTGCATGCCAAGGAATAGAGCAATGCTCTGTGAAAGTGTAATTTCAGCTTTAGATGTGTTCCTTGATCTAGTGATGTGTAGTACATCAATGTTCAGGCACATATCAGCTTTGATTACCACTTTTCTCAGTCTACAGTGCCAGCTTTAAATTGCATCTTAAGATAAAAGCAAATTAATTAGTTTTGAGTCCATGTTTTAGTTGTGGCTATAGAGCGACTTGTGTTGTACGGACACTATCAATGTTTCAAGCCTTTGATCATGCTGAAGTGAACATAATGTACAATTTACAACAATAATTTTTAATCTTTGTAATGTTTTAATTATATATAGTTTTAGTTTTCATGTTTACAGAATCAGTGGTCTGTTTATTTCACAATGTATGCTTCTGTTGAATGTTATACACTTGTTACTGGCAGACTGGTGTTTTTAAATTCATCAATAGTCCTTCTGTTCTTTCCTATTGATAGAATATAAAGAAAACTCTTGAATCTCCCAGCGAAGAGACAACGCGAGATCCATGTATGTCTCAGTAATAAGATCTCATGTATAAAATTAAACAAAAAATTTGTTTTAAATGAAATAAAAATGTCTACATTTTGACAGATCCATTGTGGACGTACATATTTCATTTCAGAAATGTACCATATAATTATGTATTTAATTATACACCTGACACCTGAAGAAGGCTCCCCGGCCAAAACACTGTGTTCTCTTTCTTCTTTTTTTCAGCATGGAATAAACCTATTACTTGTTCCAATTATGTATTTATATTAATATTGCATGTAATTTCTTATACTTTGGATGGTAAGCTAACTAATTGCAGGGTTTAATTATTAAGCAGCAAAGGTCCGGTGTGGGTCTCACTATAGAACTCTTGATTAATTCTTTTTGTAATTTTCTGATTAATTATTTTGGAGTTTCTGCCTAATCAGCAAGCACACTGTGAAACATAATTGCACACGCAAGAAACTTACTGTCTCAGGAGATTAACTACTTTGCTGATTAAAATGAGTTGAATCAACTAAATAATATCAGAACAGATTGAGAAAAAATATTCCCAACAATAGTTTAATCTTAAGATGTTAAAGGGTAGACAATGAGTAAAGTGATTGACTTGGTTGTTTTTGTCTAATTTCTTTGTTAAGCTTATCCTAATGGAAGAGAATTGCACATTTCAAAATTCTTAGAATTTCATATTCTGTTCCCAACATTCCATCTACTGTATGTAAATATATTCAAAACAACAAAGACTAAGCTAAAAATCTAGGACTCAGTGTGTAAGATATCAGGAGAGTTATAGTAATGAAAAAGACTACTTTTCTCCTAAATTCTCTCTATTCATTGCAGGTTTCATTTCACACCTCACTTCACCTATCCTGACTTCACACTTCTTGATTGGCCTCTCTTTCTGTCCCCAGCTCCCGCCTCTCACTCCTCCTCTCTCCCAGCCTTTGTTCTCCCGCCACATTACCTTTGCTTACTGCCCTCACACACCTGAAGAAGGCTCCACGGCTGAAACGTTCTGTTTTCTTTCTTCTTTTTTCAGCATGGAGTAAACCTATTACTTGGTATTTTAAGATTATGCACATACTATTTTGCTTTATAAGCTCAGTCCAGTACTTTCAATGTAAAATATAAATCATCATGAGCAAACTCATTATTCAGTTAGATTATGCAAATTATTATTGATCAATAACCACAGAATTTATGTAATTAAAATATTTTTATTATATGTATTTCCTTTTATTGTGTTTAAACCAACCAAAAGCTGTAATACCTACAGCACAATAAGTGTGTCTCTTTAGTAAATGAGGAAATTTTTCATTAATCCTTAAAAGTAATTTGAATTAATGATTTAAAGAATATACAAATAATTAACTGGGCTATTTTTAAACTAAAAAATTAAGATGCATAAAGTACACTTAAGTTGTGGGCATCTACTCCAGAATTCAGTTAGCTACCAGAATGAGCAAGACTGGCCAAATACCCTCTTCCTGTCTTTAAGATAGGTATTACTTTCTATCACTAACATTTCATCCTGTTATACAATTCTACCTAAGAAAGGTTTGTAAAATGCCAGATGGATTTTCAGAGCCTTACTTTCCAATTTGCATTGTGCATTTTTGTCACAATTATAAAACATTTCAATGGATGTTAGAAATGGATGGAGAAACTTTTACAAAGCATGCAATTTTTAAGCACATTGTATACTACAGTACATTTCATCATTGTTTATTGTATTGTTTTACTTGGAGTGAAAAACAGAACATCAAGCAGCATTTATTCAAGGGTGTTGTTTCTGATATTGGAAGCTTTACAGGTATCAAAGAGCCATCTTGTTAAGGTAACAGTACATATACTGTATAACCTTGACATTTTCATGCATTGTGACTTTTTAAACAAATGTACAATGTCTTGAAGGTGGGAGGTGGGGTCAGTATGTGTTATTGCTGTCCAAAACTTGTAACCATAAAGGTGAGAGTGATATAGAAAGGTGCTTCTGCCTTACTGGTTTAGTTTTAAATAAGGTTTATTCAAATATGGAATTAAATTAAACAATACTTCATAGCAATACGTTTTTCAGAAAAATATTGAGAACTAATTATAAGGAACAGAAATGATTTTTGTGTCTGGTAAATATTAAATAAATATTATCTATAATAGAAAATAAAGAATGTATTTAAATGATTATGTATTTGGTTTTCATATTGCAACATTTTTCTGAAGGCAGTACAGTGAATGGTTAATGCATTAATTTAGTGTTACTAAAATGCCTCCCTCAATTAAAAATCACACTTACAAGGTGTTCTTTGGAGAAATAATCCATCCATTATATCTTTTTTTAGCTGTCTTGACCTCATTAGCAAGTGCAGACTTGCAGTTATTTCAGCTCAATGAAATTGACTTAAAATTGTATTAATTTGAGAGCTAGGCTATCCAAGCTGAACCCCACAAGCAATGAAGGTGTACAGGGATTTCCTGAATACCTCAATTGCACACAAACCAATTGCTACATTTGATCCTAGAGGATTATTAAAATGCTGTCCCCCACAGAAAAAGATGAAGACAACCAGAATACAAAAAAAGTGTAAGATGAGTGCACTCTGTGTATTAAAAACGTCCTTATTAAAAACGTCCTCTTCATTAAGATGGATTTATTTAGTTGATGTCAAAATAAGCTTAACTCTCCATTCCAAAGACTTACCTGCAGTTTACTATTACTGTGCAGAACAGGAAAGTAAGGTCATTGTATTCATTACATAATTTCTCGACATTTTCTTTTAAAGCATCTCAATCCAGGAACATAATTAATGGTTACATTTGTGTATTTTTGTGAGTGGTATGAGAAAGCAATAAAGGAATGGCAAACTAATTAAATTGTACAGTGTACAAACAAGTACCTGTTTTTCCAGGTCAGGGTTGTAAATTTAGAATTTTATTCATGATATTGCCATAAAAGGAAATTCAAATAATTCAAATAATAGAAAAATCTCATACATTGCCTCTAACTGCCTCTAATTGTCCTATTGTCCTATTAAACAAGTTAGATAGGAACAACAAACATCATTGAAGGGATAATTAGTTTAAGAAATGTTATGAAAATATTGGGAATGTGTAACAAAGGGGTTAATAACAAGGCACCAGTTTCTGTAATATGCTCATATTATGTTTGTTTTTGACTGAATATTTGATGTGTGACCTTAATGCTTACTCAATTGGAAATCTATTCCTTCTTAACAGACATTTATTTCAAATCTCAGATCACTTCAGCTTGTTTATAAAACCATCTTGTCATTATTCTGGTTTTCTGAAGGAGCAAAAGTAGAAGAAAATGTGTGTTCAATTGATAGAATTTATAATATATCTACCTCTAGAGATTGAAACAGGGAAAATAATTACAAATGGGTTCAGGCAATGTGGTTATACAGTTAGTTAATAGATGAATGTCTGCAGAGTGTAGTCTTGAATGTGCTTGCGTGAAACTGTAGCAGCAAAAACTATATTGCCATGTGCAAACAGTCTGTCACTTTAATGGAGAACTACCCACTATCCCCATCTCTCTGCTGCATATCAACTTACTAATTTTGAGATTCATCTTCTTACTGACAACCCACGCAAAGGATTAAGTGTGAAATCATGCAAGTACAATTCATGCATCATTGGCAAAAGGAAACAAAATGCTTTTTCCCTTAGTGTCATCTGAAAATTAATCCACAGAAATTCCTCTGATATTGCAATAACATGGATTTTTAGAAAGATTGAAAAGCCATCCACTAGTCTTAGAAAATAATCACTTTAGTTTACATGAAGTCTATTTCTACCTTTGTTTAGTCATTACAGATGGCTAAAATGCAGCATGGTAGTGGCCCCCATGGCAGGGGGGGAACATCTGATTTTTTAAGGGGTCTTTTGGAAATAATCTAAAGTCAGTCTTGGGTCTACATCCACAATGATTGCATGATTACACACATTTAACCTGAATAACATAGATTTATGTATAAGTCTAGAGACTAGCGCGTAATACTTTTTATTTAACAGACAATTAACAGTTGTATTATACTGAGTCATAGTATTAAATCCATGTATGTTTTCCACCTGGCTTCACACATTGCTTATTCTGCTGTTGCCATTCCAAGCAATATAAAAGTATGTCTCATAAAAGACCACTGAAACTCTAACACAGGATGATTTGCTTGTATTGACACCAAAGCACTTTACAGTTTTGAAACAAGCCAGAGAAATTCAATATCAGTTTGACAGTCAGACTTCTTTGGTGCCTGCTCTGGATGAGGTAAGTGGCTGTGTCTGCATTTTTAAATCTGCACTCAGATGATGAAAATGGGTTTTCCCACAAGGCTTTTTGCAGAAACCATGAAGGGCTGACATCATTCAGTGCTGCAGGAGTGGTTCTTTCCATACTGCCTTGCACACTGCCCACCTAATGGCTTAAGCTCAACTAAAAACCCCAAATGACTGATAAGACAGGAGTCAGAGAATGTCTTTATCACTTAGGTTATGCACTGGTGATGCATCATTGAGGAAATGTACTAAAAATAAAAACTAATGGAAAAATTGAAGATTATATCAGCCTTTCTATGGTGTAGAGCAGACTTGAATCAGGAAAAGGAGTTTCTCTTTTGGGAGTGTGATAAACGAAACCTTTCTCCTGAGTACCTCATGTTCATCTTATCATGGAGAGTGAATACAGGGCTTATCTCCGTTGCTTGATTTACATAAGTATGAAAACAAGAAAGATGCTGTATTTCCTTTCAGATTTAATAATCAGTCAAGACACATCCCTGTTCGATGAAGAGGATTTTACTTATTTTTCATTACTTACAAAAACTATAATAGTAATAGTAGCAGTAAATTTTATGTTTTTTTTAACTTTTAATTTGACTGTTTTAGTTGTTTCATATAAATTAAAATATGTTTTAAGTCAAATAGTTTATGTTAAGTCAAACATAGTTATTGGCTAAAAAATGATAAATTGTTTGGGTTTCATGGTATGATTACAGTAACATGCATTTACATAAGGTGAAATTCATAGAC